GCAAACACTGATAAATGGGCTTGACGACGGCCTTGCAGGCCCAAATATGAGCTTTGGATTGGACGGTATGACCTCGAGGGAAGGACGGTGTCGCCAAATGGTGTCGGCGCTAGAACAGGCCTGTTGATTGAGGAGAGCGGTGATGGTGCGGAAGGTTATTGAGGGTTAGGAAGATCGAATTGACGTCGATAGTTTGCGCGAGAAGCGAGGCTAATACAGCCAAGTTAATGACAGTGTCCCTCCAGACATGCCTAACATCCTCTTCTTCATCCAAAGAGTCGGAGTATACACCTGTGTTTCCGCAAATCTCGCTCCTCGCCCTTCTGACAAAGCTCATGCCGTCCGGATAGACTGCGCCGTAAACGCGTCTAACAACGACCTAGCGCGTCGAATAGTGGGGCGGAAAGAATTGGGTAGCGTAAGGAGAGTGTGATGGAGGTGGAGATACGGTCAATATAGCGCTAGGTGGCGCGTACGCGGCAATACTTCGACGTCTGTGGAAGGGATGTCGCGCACGTGACTTCCATTTTTGGACGAGGCAATCTGGTGAGTGTGGATGGGGAGGAATGTTGCGAGTAGGTGGGAGAAATTGCGTGCACGGTCGGTTGATATCGCTTTCGAGGGCTCGACAGTTAGTTCGGGAGCGAATAGGCTACTAGATTGGCGTTTGGAATTGGCACAGGGGAAGAACGAGCAATGTCTTGCCAGGTTATTGGCTGCTTGTGGGTTTTTGAGACGCAGCCAGGTCCTCGGAGGCTGTGACAACTAGCTGTTCCCAACTAAAGCTCTTCCTCCGACACAGATATTCTTGTATTCTTGTCATTGGGCTTGACTGAGTCGGATAGGCTGAGGTAACATGAGCAGGAAGAGGGAGTAAGTAATGCAATTCAGTAGAGAAAGTGCCGGAAAACGCACCACAACCACCGACAGCTCGCTTTTCCCCAGGTCGTCCCGCTTTTCCCCGTTTCCCTCCACTCCGCCTTGCACAGGAAGTTGGAGGCCTCCACCTGCTGTCGGCGCGTCACTGGTCCTTGTCATGGAAGCTGCGGGTATTTTCTGCCAGCACAGGACTTGCAAGTTGGCGAGATTGAATGTACTGTCCCCGTTGTAGTCATCGGACGGGGATTTGAAGGGAATCTGTGCAGAAAGAGGGTCAACGAAAGAGAGGAAGACAAGGTCGTGCTTCGACGCACCATTATCACCAGCAATTCACGATCCAGACACGTCACACTGAGTTCCCGACCCACAAGAGCCTGCGCCCATCGCTCGTCGGGGCACTAGTGCCGCAGCATAAGGCAGAAAGAGAGTCCGCTGAGGCGGAGTAAAGTCAGTGAAACGTTGCGTGGCGAACCATGAGACACACCTGGCCGCTCGTGTGGCTAGTGAACGATGAGTATGTGAGTAGGGAGAAGGGAGGGAAGCGCTCCCAGGGCCGGAAGGGCTGTGGTGAAGGGGCGGAAGAGGAATTTGTCACGGATCACACTTCCACCATTAACCGCCATGACAAACTGCTTTGTGTGTTCGTTCCGCCCGGAGGCACTTGGCCTGCCTTCTGCTTCTCAAATCGAAAACCTCCGCTCCATAACTCGCTCAAATCATCCAACCCCTCCGGATATTCCCACTAAACTCGATGCGGTGGCTGCGACCATTGCCGACTATGACGCTCACCTTGCTCAGCTCGAAGAACTTGTTCAGACGGCCAAGGAAGAACGTGCCCGAGCCGTCTTATATGAAGCTCAGTGCAAAAGCCTCCTTTCGTCGCCTATCCGCCAGCTTCCAATCGAGATTCTGGCCTGCATCTTTGAGCGCTGTGTGCTTGTGCCACCGACAGATATGTGGAGCATCGTGGATGAAATCAAGGACTCTCGAGATGCGTTGATGAAGACCGTTAATCAGAACCTTCACTCTTATGCAAGTGAGTTCAATCTGCTGGAAGTACCACCACGCAATCATCGACTTCGAGCCTGTCGCATCTTGAAAAAAAAGAATGTCCATTGACACGATTCGACGCCTTCTTGCTGTGCACGCCAGATTGTGCCCCTCGACTCCGTATTCCCTAGCGGCCTTGGCGCTGTTCACACTCCGAACAGGTGAGTTGTGCTGTCTGCCGCCGACACATACCATTCAAGTAACAATTTTGGGTCGTTTAAAACTCGTTTTGCCTCCGAGTCGTTTTGCCCATTAGTAACGATATTTCATTTCAAAACATCACAAAACGGCGGCAGGCAACGGACGGTTACCATGGAAGGTGATCAAGGTCAGCGCCTGGGGTGAGTCCGGTCACCGGTGACACAGTTTATTCTTAACCTCCAATTCACCATGTCGTCACTATCACTAGTATATAGCTCCAGCTCCGACTCCCATCCCACACTACTCTTCATCCCCCACTGGCATGCGCTTCACCGAGCTTTCAACGACCCCCGGTCTCTACCACCGTCAGTACTGTTCTTCTCCGGTAGCTGATACTGACGAGGAGTACTGTAGGGGTTGCGCGTGCTCTGATCGTAGTCTTATGCACGCTCGCGACGCGGCTGCCCGACATCATATCCCTGTTTGTGTTCCCCAAAGACATGGTCTTCGACAACAACGATGTGGAGCAGCGACTCTGGCGACTAGGTTCGTGAATCGTCAACGTTCTGCGAGTCGGGCGTGGCCCCGTCCAGAAGCTGACTCTCTCTCTTAGGCAACGCCGTCCAGTTCGCCACGCTGTTCTACGCGCTGCTTCTGCTCTATACCCTCGTAATCCTGTGTGTTCACCTGCACTCAGGCTCCGAGCTGCTGCATCAATAGCATGCTTATCCTCAGTCCACAGGATCAGATACGCCGAGCTGCCCCACCCCACACAAACGCTGTCCCGTGCCGGCCGGCATTTCCTTATTCTCAAGGGCCACGCTTTCACCTGGATCATCTGCGCCACGCCCAACTTGTACTTTCTGCTTCGCTCTCCGCCGCAAGCCCTGCAGCAGTGCGCTGAACGGTGGCAGTGGTATCCGTGGTGTCTCGTCGTTGTGCAGAGCAACCTGGGGCCGTCCGCCATCACCGTCGCGTGTGGGACGTCTTCTACTCTGAGAACGGCTGGAGATATCGTGGTTGACAAGATTCTAGTGTTCTGTGCTGCGACGAGCATCCGCCACCATGCCATGGCGTCCCACGGCGATACGCCACGGCTGCTCGAGCTCGGAGAAGTCCACCCCGTGAAAAGGCAGGTCGTCCGTGAAGCGGGGATAACAGTGCCGAATTGGATGATGGCGCATGTTGCTAGCGCTGGCATCCTCAGAGAAGAACAGGTCTCAAGTAATGTCATCCTATAGGAAATTCTTTGCCCCTTGTGTTGCTTGTAAACTGGCTCTACTAGTATTTGGTCGGAGTCAAAAGGAAAAGTTCAATTATAGGCGGATGTAGTCAGATGTAGAGGTAGAAATACGTTGAGGCATGACAGTTTTGGTCGCGGCGGTAGCGTAAGGGGAAAGATTAGGACCAGTCCGACTAGGTAGTAGGCCACAGTCCGGACGATACGCATCGACTTTTGTTCAAGTTGTTGTTTTGTATCGCTGACTTGCCTGTGGTCTTGACTATGCCAACCAGACAGCACAGTTGATACTACCATAGACTGGCGCAACGTTGACTTACTCGATGGCGGGTTCTTCGTTGCGAGCCAAACAAACTGCTCTCATTGTCGGCAAGGTGTGTTTCGTGTGGTCTTGCCGCGTTTGACGATGCTGAGTTGTGTTAGTTTGCATTCGACAAGCCGCTTGAGTCAGATTGGCAGTCGGGTGTGGTATTAGGAAGCTGGCGTTGGCAACGTTGCCGTCTTGTGCAAGGTTCGTGGAAATTTGTCTCCTTGTTGTCGAGATCCCTCGTTATTTCTAGCGGCGATTTGAAGATTTTTCAAGGCGGCGGGGACGGGAAACGTGCTTCGCTAGGTTGACAAACGGCTAGAGCAGTAAGTCAGTGTCGTAGACCAGTGTAGACAGCTTCGACCCCCTCACGACCCTGAGCCGCCGTCGTTGGCCATGCGCGCGCGGCCTGTTTCGGGCTGGCGCAGCGAGTCGGCATCACTGCTTGTGGCACTGGTGAGTCTATTGTCTTTTCTTTTAAAGGCGCTTGTGCTTACCGCTGGTCCGACTCGTTGAAGCCGCCACTATATTACTGACAACTTCCACCCGACAAGCGCCTTGTGCGGTCCTGCTCAAATATCAGCTTCAAATTTTCGCCATTTTGTTGAATGCTTACCTTGTTATAGCGCCGTTCTTGCTTGTCCCCACTGTCATCGCCGTTGTGCCCGCCGACCACAAGCTGGAGAAGAGGGTAAGTCCAATCTCCATCCAGAACATGTCTGCTTACCTTGCATAGGCCCTCGACCTCCGCTCGAAAGCCAATGTCATTCGCAAACCTTCAAGTACTAGTACTCGTTTTGGCCGTTGACTTCAAGTTGTACTTGGGCTGAAGCAGAGGGTCGGCATCACTGCGGCTTGGTGAGTCTTTTGTTTGAAGACTCTTGTGCTTACCGCTTATCCGACATATATGCAACCTCCAAGCTCGACATGCACGCGTTCTACAAGGTGAGCTTCACATCCTTACCATTGTCTTGAACGCTTACCTTGTTATAGCCCCGTTCTTGTTCGCAGACCTTTAAGCAAGCCAGGTTAGTACTCGTTCTCAGCCCTTGACTTGTACTCACCGGCCAGCCGCGCTCGCTTGTCCGCGCCTTCGAGTTCTCGCAGACTCAAATCCACGACCCACTCATTCATGCGAATCATGCCCGTTCCCTCCTCATTTTGCTGGGCCACTACTCAGCAAACGGTGCGGGTGACATATCGAATATCACCATTCGCGCCTGCTGACCGCCCCACAGAGGCGCGCGCTCGACAACGTCTACAAGAACCTGACAGTTAGCAAAAGACGCGCTATGGGCGGGCGACAAACGCACCGTCCTCAACCCTCCCCGCCATCGAGATGCTCACCCTCGTTCACAGCCTGGCCGCCCCATCCCGCTCGCGATGCCCAAATGGTGGGTGTCCTAGGCCTGCTCGTTTTCGAGATTGCGCTGACAAATCTTTGCTTTCAAGCGTTGATTTAGCGGGCTCTGAAGGCGGTGGGGCCGGAAAGCGTGGCTCAGGAAGTGCCAGAGCCGCTCTGCAAACGGCTGGACGGAGTCCTAGTGGCATGCTGGATACAGATTCCGCGTCTTGCCCGTTGAGCGGTGGCCCGGCAAGCGATCGAGCGCGGCCTGTTGCGGGGTTCGCGGCCGTGCATTCAGCGCTGTTTGAAGCGGGAGGCCGTCATGTGGCCCGTGCAGCTGGGCGGGTCCGAGTCGGGGAAGTGAGAGGACCGGAGAGAGTTGATAAGCGACACGTGCCGTCGGGTCACGGGCCCGACCGGTCGTCGCTTACCCTTCTGACTTCACCACCACCACCGCCGTTGTCGTTGTCGTCGGCGCTGCCCGCGCGCATCAGCGTCTGCGCATGGTCTTTGAGACGACCGCTACTTTGGGCAATGCGTGCGCGCTGATGCCTTCAGATAGCTCGGGCCTGGACACTACAAGTGTCGAGTTATTCTTGAAACTTGATCGGGCTGAGTACTTACCCGTCTTAGCGCCCGTCGTCCACCGCCCTTCTCCCACCCACATCATGCTCTCCCCCCGGACCTCCACCCTTTCACTGTCCCCACGACTCTACCATCGTGAGCGCCACAACTTGAAGGCTACGAGTAGATTAACCACATTCTAGATGTCGCGCGCGCCCTGGCCGTGTCGTACATCCTATGCACCGCCTCGGCGCAGCTGCCCATCCTTTTCGCAATTGCTCGCCATGGCAAAGCCGTCGACGACACATATGTGAACACACATCTCGGTCCGTCCTCCGCATTCCCGAATCCCCCGCCCGCAAACCCTGACACTGTCTCCCAGCGGTGCCATTGGTATTCACGATTCTCACCCCCATCTACGCATCATGCCTCGTTTACAAAACAACCCTGTGGTATGCCCACCGCATCTGCATAGCTCTTCTTTTACCCCGCGCAAAGGATCCGCCCCGCCGAGCGCCCCGACCCGCTGCAGTTTGGCACCATCAACGTCCACGTGTGCCTCTGGCTCTGCTGCGGCGTCGTCCCCGGCCTGTGGCCCCTCCTCCGCGCGCCGTCAGAAGACATGCAGCAGTGCACTAAGCAATGGCCGTGGTGTCTTGTCCTGCTGCAGCGCAACCTCGCTCCGGCAGCCATCTGGATTGCCTGTGGGGCCTGTTTTTTCTACCGCGAACTGCTGCTGAGCCCCTCTCAGTGCTATGCGCGTCGATAGGCAGCTACCAGCCGGGAACGGAGTATTATTTGTTGCCTGCGTGGCGATATTACCCGGGGGGAAGGGAAACGGACGGCGACGCAGTGGACAAGACCAAGGTCTTTGGAAAGCAGGTCGATTCATAGGCAGATGTAGAGGTAGGAATACATTGAGGCATTACAGTTTTGGTCGCGGGGGTAGCGTAAGGGGAAAGATTAGGCCACGTTCCGTACAATGCGTGTCGACTTTTGGCATTGTTTTGTGTCAAAGACTAAGTAGTCTGAATCCGACTCGTAATCTTCAGCGTCAGCGCCATAATAACACTCTGCACAAGGCGGTCAGCTTAGAAACCCGCTGCGAGCACGCCACACACCTTTGCCATGCAACCTGGGCCGCGCGCGGTACCCGGGGAGGGGTAAAGGGACAAGGAAGCTCATCGCAGTCGGGGTGTTGACGGGACGGGGTCTACATACTGCGAGCGTGTCGCAGCGAGCGCACGGGCATGGTGATGTTCCCATAGCCGCCCCTTCTACTAGTAACGGGCTAGCGCAAATGAATGAGAGCGGAAGGAAGCACGGGTGGAGTGGAAACGCACGATGGCCATCCGCCTCGCGCCAGCGTGAGCCCTCTTGCTCCACTCACTGTCTCCATAGATCTCGTCTTCCCTGTTCTCACTCTTCACATCCCCATCTTTGCGCTTACCGCGTGCTAGAACCACAGAGGCTAACGATTGCGCTGCGGAAACAGCCTGAGACCCGACAGGCCCGTTGTCGCTTACTCCATGAGCCTGAGCCGCCGTCGTTGGCGTTGCGCCTGATCGCGCGCTGTCTGGCCTGGGCACTGCCTATGGGCTTGGTGAGTCTGCTTTTGTTTGAACAGGCTCGTGCTTACCGCTTGTCAGCGTCGCCACCTGTACCCTGGTCGGATACATCGATGCCGGCTATAACTAGCTCAGAAAAGCTTGAGCTGAGTGATATAAGAGGCGAATAGGTCGTTAGGATGCTGCAATAAGGGTGCCGACGTGTCTGCAGGCTGGGAACGCTCCAGGTGGTTGTCGTGGTCGAGAAGAAAATTTGTCACCCATCACATGACACATCTGGGGTTTATCTCCAGTTCCCGAGTCAAAACAAGGCGTGTCGCCTGACGCTCCCAGATTACCACATCTAACCTCCTCTTTGTCATTTGCGGCCCTGCGGGCGTTCATACCCTGCGTCTTTCGCGCCAGATATGTGCAAACCTGAAAAATATCAACCCCCCTTCAAGTTGATTCTATGTGGGTCATAATCCATTATTTTCAGCAAGCTCCATCACCATCGCACGCAGCCCCATCTCCTCCTCAAGCTGCGAAGAAGCCATATCAGCATCTGTCAAGCCGCAGAACAACAACGTACCTCTCTCCGCCTGACGCGGTCCTCTCTTCCTGCGTCCCCGCCAAACACGCGGTCCATATCTTCGAGCGTCACGCCCGCTGTTTCCGGCACCGTATAGGTGGCCCACAGATAGGCCACGAAGCACGCTGTGGCGAATGTGAGGAACGTCCCGCTGGAGAAGTTGTCAGTAGACGGTGATGTCGGCAGAAGAAAGGGCAGACGCAGGTGAGTATTCCATCATGATTGGTGTTACGAGCCCGATGAAGACTGAAGCAGGTCATGAGACGCAACACGGTAGACATAATGACGGACAGTTGTTGCTCCAGTTGGAGGCAGTTGATAGAGCCACTCCACGGCCGCGCATCGACAGCGGGAAGACCTCGCTCGGGAGGACCCATCCAATGGGTCCAAACGAGACGCCATATGCAAACGTAAATGTATATGTAGATTGCACTGGGAAAGTTTTCAGAGGGGCTGAGGCGGAAACAAAAGAAAGCCATACGCAACAGCGGTCCATGCGGCTATTGCATGCGAGCTCCAGTCTGATTGGAACTGCATTACCTGGTCGGCAGTCAGCATTATATAAGAGAAAGGAAGTTCAGCACTGACGAGGACGGCAATGATAAGATGAGAGGCCGCCATAAACGAGCTACCACCTTTTTCGCGTTAACTACATGGATAGGGGACGATGCAGAAGTAACCTCTTAACAAAGGCTTGCGTCCTGATTGCAGGGTCAACAGGATATATAAACAGAGCAAAAGAGACAATTACCAACTCGGTCGATATATATGACAGCGGGTCCAACAGCAATGAACTGGACAATTCCAATTCCCCCAGAAACAATCAGCGAGATAGTTTCGCCTTTGAGACCAATACTCTTCACAAGAGTGGGACCATAATAGAGTAATGCATTGATTCCGCTCCATTCTAAGAGTCATATCAGTGGAGAGACGCAAAAGAAACTGTAGCTTGCGTTGGAAGAACATCATAAGAACCCCCACCAGCGTGCGCGGGCGGTATTTCTTGGAGAACAACTGCCGCCACGCCGAAAACTCGTTCTGGGCACCAGGTTTGGGCGAATCCGAGTTGGATTGGGAAATCAAGGCTGCTTCGACACACATTTCGAGAAGCTCAATCTAGAGCCAGGTCAGCGACAGACCTCAAGAAGCAAGATAAAACCTTTGTGAGCACGTCATCGCGACCACGCAGCTTGACCAAACTGGCTTCTGCTTCGTCATATTTGCCTTTCAGCACAAGCAATCTAGGCGAAGCGGGAAGAAGGAACAACGCCCCGAAAGCTAGAAGGACTCCGGGGCCGATTTGGACACCAAGCGGAATCCTCCATGACGCCGAACCTGGGACTGGAGGAGAAATTGAGTATGGAGTCAAATGAAACGACCACCACATACTATTTCGCGTGAAGAACCCAATCCAGAACCCGACAACAACTCCAAGGACGATCGAGAATTGTTCGAGCGCAATGAGCGAGCCGCGTACTTCGGGTGTACTGATTTCCGATATATAAAGTGGTGAAAGCATGCTTAGAGCGCCGACACCAATGCCGCCAACAGCGCGACCAATGAAAAGGTCTGCAAGTGTTCGCGCGAATGTTTGGAAGAGCGCGCCAATGTTGAATATGACTAGCGACGATATGAAGTTAGACGGACGGAGGTTACCGTAAACATACCACAGGCAATGAAGATGGAATGTCGGCGGGAGTATCTATCGGCCAAAACTCCGAACGTGAGAGCGCCAATCAGGGCGCCCAGTTCAAGAACAGCAGCTGAAAACAGTAAGGGCCGGTTATGAGCGAAAGGTAGAGCACGCACTGAGAGCGCCTTTCTGCAGCGGTGTTATTGGCCATCGGCCTACAAAGTCCTCCATTACAAGTACATTGGCAATCTGGAGAGAAGAAGAGTTAATCGATGTATATGAAGCAGAAGGTTGGGACACACCACGCCCTGGTCATACCCAAAGCTCAGCCCGCCTATGGACGCGAAGACCGCACACAAGAAGGCGTAGTAGTTGTGCCACAGTCCAGACAGCCCGGGAGGGCCATAACTGTAAGTGTACAAGGAGTCTTCAGCGACTTTCAATCCAGAATCCGCGTTTGTTTGAAGGGAAGGGAGCAGGCAGCTATGTGCTGTGATTTCCTCGTCGGATTCGCGGGGGAGAAGAACGGGGTCGTTGTTGGGAAGGGGTGCATAGTTGCTTGGCTGGAAAGAGTCAATGTAGGTTGATATAAAAGAGCCGTTGCTCACCATAGAGCTGGGATTATAAGATCGTAGCGTTGCTTGAGCTGGCTGTCGAGGAAACGGAACGGGTTGCTGGCCGTGGTATTACAGAGTACTGAGTACAATGTTAGGCGGGTCCGTTGTGAATGAAGGGAGAGAGGGAGACACACGATAGAGAAGAGAGATATGTATAAGATAGTGAGTCGTGAAAGCAGCAGGAAGACAGTGTGACCAATTGTGACCCGAAAATATCAGGGGTTCTTTCCTCCAGCCACGACGCATGTCCTTCTGGCATGAAGATGGCCCAAATGCTCATAAATCCCTCGTATCTCACTCACAATCACTGCTCTTGCCTCGTATGTCTGCTACCCGTCCGACTCTTTTCGCCTTGCTTTGCCTACCTGGCGTTGGTTGGCGCTGAACCGCTGGTCCTTGCTCGGCGTAAGACGTGTATTGCGAGACCGGGAAGGGCTAGAACGAGGCTATAACCAGTGCAGGATATGGTTCGGTTGGCCAAAAGGTGTGTAACTTCTTGGTCTCTCCCGCACTCATTTGCTAACTTTTCTGTAGCGGCAAGCTTTCTCAGATATGCCTCAGACTAGAAAGCGGACATAAGAAGGCTTCTTCCGACAACACACCATTGACGATGAACTAGTCCACGATGGCCCTTCCCACCATTTCGCCACCTTGCTGGTTGCTGCGTTAGAGCTCCACCCGTATCGGGTCTTTGGTATGTTTTCCAGTCGCTGACCGTATACACAGACTAACCCATGCCTGCCAGCTGATTTTTTCGAGATGGTACTGTCGATGACGATAGTTCGGGAGCAAAGCTTCCCTCTTCACGCTCACCATGGAGTTTCGCTAGTGGGCCCACTGAGCCATAGCCGGGTAATGAAGTCGGTGAGTTGGGTCGTATCGTAACTGGCGAGTTCTCATAAGTCGTACAGTGTTTCCCGCAGGCTCTCGTTTGTTTTTCGACAAATTTGCGCAGTTTTCCGTGGACGGCCCACGGCTGCCTCGCGTTAGGTGAGTGCTATCTACTGCTGCAGTATCTCGCGCTCACCTTCTCCTTCATAAGCTCCTTGTTGTCGACGATGAAGAGCATGCACTACTCTTCCCCGCTCGACAGAGTCCCCGACTCCAGCCCAACAATCAGCACTCCTTAATCTGAAGCTGCTTGCCCTCACCGCAGTCACCACAGCACTCTATCACAGCGCTCTACGACGGCAAATTCTCGCCCGCAAATACGAGTATTGTCTCATTGCGCTCGCGCGCGCGCGCGTCAAGTTTGGTTGTCCCGTCTCCGTTCGGCGGGTCGTGTCAGCGTTGTGCGGCCGTTGGCACTCCTGAATGGGGCGTGTTGCGCGCGAAGAACGCACTGTTCTCGTGATATATCCAAGTTGTCAAGGTAGTTCGTCGCGTCATGTTGTTTGAGGACGCTGACTCACCTTCTTTACTTGAAGGTCGTGCTGCTGACTCGTGCAGGAGCTGCAGGATCTGTCGCCGAAGACAATCCCAAAGTAGTCTTCAAGACACTGCTGTTGTCAAGCGAGCAAATGGTAAGCAGGTACCGTCCAAGTCAAGGAGCCGCACTTATCTTTGTGTATTAGCAGCTCGCTCGCGACTCTTTCAAGTTCGTCACGCTACAAGTAAATGTCTTTCGTCTCGCTTCACGCATGCTTACCATTTAATAGCATTCTAACAGACGGTTAGTGGTGTTAAATCCTCAACAAGTCCAATATACTCACCTTTACCGCCGATAGCAGTTCATTAGTCTGCACTATCCTGTTCGCTCCCGTCCTTTCGCTGACCTTGATTTCCAGCGTGCTCGACGAGATGACGCTGTTGTTGCCGTCCTTGCTCAACAAGGTCAGTGTCTCGCTGCCAAGCTGAACAACACTGACTGTGCTGGACAGCGCTGTCGTCGCAGACAGTGCCGAAACGATAGAAGATCGTGGCGCTCCAGTGTCTCACCGCAATTGCTCCCTTTTCAAAGCCGTCGTTCTCGCCCGCCGTCAACGTTCATGACAAGAACTAAAGAAGGGCCGCTGACCAGCGCATACCGGCAGGAGAAGACAGCGTCCGTTGTGCATTGAATCATTGTCCATTAAACTAAGTAGTAGTCAGAGGAACTACTTATATTCGTTGTCCTGAGTACCTACAGCCTACTTACCCGTAGTATCTCACCTCTTGTGCGTCGGCCTCTGCGGACTACCATGCGACGAAAAACTCGATATCAAGCCTAAATAACTTCGCAAGGAGATAGGAAGATAATCAGCTGACAACTAATAATATGTCGAGGGAGAATAAATAGGTCTTGCCTTTACATATTTAGCTCAAATCCTTGCCCGCGCGGCCAGCAGTCGCAACAGTGTAATAAACCACATTGATTCCATCCTGACGACACACATAATCCCCAACAGCCCTTCTACACCGGAATAGTCCGATTGAACCAATCCACCGCCTGCTGGAACGCCTTCTCGAACGCCTCCTTGACCTCGGGGTACTGCAGCGCGGGCCGTAACGACACAGTCAACAGAGAGCACAAGAACGTGAAACGCCACGCACCAGGGTACACCTTAATTTTGTACTCCACATACGTGTCCTTCCCCTCCCGCGCCCTGTACAGCGCCTCGATCTGGTCCAGCCGCGCTTTCGAGATGGCGAAATCGTCTAGAAGCGTGTTAGCGTTAGTGTTTGGTCAGAAACTTGCTGCTCCATGGACCTTCCGCCGCGATCCAGGCAGTGGGCGCCTTTATACCGAGAATTTGCGCGTCTTTGGGCGGGGACGGGTGGGCGATGACAATGCTGCTGAAGAGCGCGGGGTGTTGCGAGCCGAGAATGAGGGAGACGCCGCCACCGAAGCAGTAACTTGGGCCATGAGACGAGTGTCGGACTCCAGAAGTAGCAACGCACCCAATAGCCCCCAGTTTCTCATACTTCTTCGATTCCTGCAGCTTGTTGACGAACTAGAAACGCATGAGCTTGGTAGTTAAAAGTGGGAAGGCGACGCACCGTAAGTGCCCGTGCAGCGCCCTGGGGTGGACGGTTGCGGATGAGCGCGAAGAGGCTCGGCAACACCTTAAAGAAGAGCTTGAGGTATCCAAGGAAGCCGACTTTGAGCCCCGCCCTCTGCGGGATGGCGGACATCTGCTCGGGGGTCACGGCCGGGCGGCCCGCAAACAGGTCGGGCACGTAGACGTCGCATTCGAGCGATTTGGCAAAGTTATCCGCGATGATGCGCGCATTCTGGCGAGTAATTAAGCAGATAGCAAAGCAACAACACAACGAGAATAGACACGCACGTTCAGCGGGAGCCCAAATATGTCCGTCAGCAGGATGATTGCCCGTTTGGCGGAGGCGCCTTGCGGGCCCGGGCCCGGGGAGAAGTACGCTGCGTTGTCAATGTCGGAGATCGTTCCGGTCGGCGTGCCCTCCAAGGCCTCGCCGGTGAAGCAATTGGGGCACGACATCGTCTGTCGTGGAGGCGGGAAGGAAAGGAGGACGACACGATGATCATGCGAAAATGGAGCGAGGAAGGCGATTATGTCAGCACCGAAAATTCTCACTCCGGACGTTGACTCCGAAGATGGTTTCGGCGCTCGGGAGCAGGCAAAAAAAAAGATTTGTGCTTGAGGGACATATTGCATTGAAAGAAGCACCTAGGACTGCTTGTAGTTTATAGGCAAGTAACAAGATTATCAACGAGTACTGCTTATGGTTTAGGGTCAGTACTAAACCGCCGGCGACCGACTCGAAGAAGTGTGTAGCTCTACAAGTTGGCCCGAGGCTATCTCACCAACTCGCCCAAGATGGTCGGCAAAGCCTTCACCGCCTCCGCCTGGAACGCCAGGCTCCCTCGCTTGTCGTTTCTCCAGCGCCGACGACACGCCGGGGTCGTCCAGCCTGAATTGAAACAGCTGGAGCATCGGCAGCAAGCTACACCATTACAAGATCCTGCGCCCGACCGCGGCAGACTCGAGCAGCAGCCGGATCCCCTCCACGCATTCAAGACGCGGGGCAATATCCTGGCCGCGGGGCCCATTCACCCATTGGCATATCGCCGTCGGCTTCAAGTTGTAGCGCTCCCGCTGGAAAAGAGAGAGCTGCTGTCTCCCGGTGCCCTTGATCCGCTGCATAGACGCACAATGCCATGCGGCACGAGCTAGAATTACTTCCGTACAGCAACAAGTTACAAGTCTTCGCCTATCTGGTTGTCATAACCGTACGGAATGCATTTGACTAGCGTAAACAAGAGGAATTAAGAGTCAAATAAAACGAAGGTTGTTGCTCCTAGTCCGCCATCGACACAACGACAGGCAGCGCTGATTTTCCATCCCGGTCTTGGGCACCAGTGTGATAACGGAACTGGGCTGAAGGGAATCACCTTTACATAAGCAGCGTGCTTAAAACAACCACGGAGGACGAACGCGGGGCCCAAGCATGTGCGCCAACGTCTAAAAGCACAAGAATAGATGCACAGACATATGGAGATATAGGGTTTCGAGTAGTCGGGGCTCTCAGTATGGATGTAAAGTCGATTCGGATGTAAATGTGGTCGTTGTCAAAAAAGGGCATCAACGAGAGCCTTCTCGTTCATGACAGACCCTGAGAAGAATTAGACGTTCTATTTTGCACGTAATGGACCATTGGATAGGGTCGGTAGAAGCGTAGGAAGTGCAGGGGTAGAGCTGCAAACTCGTATGTGGGCAGCGTGACGGTGACGGATGTGACATTCGAAGGAGGCGATGAAAAAAGTGTCGTACCCAGCAGGAGCTGACTCTGCCAACGGTAGGAGTAGCAAGGAGCAGTGCTTGCACATATGTGGAGAGGTGGGAGGACGATCGGGAAGGAGTAGGTGGTATTGGGAAGAGTTGCGAGTGGTCATCGGCGGGATAAAGTCCTTTTTTCGAAGCCCACGCTGCATGCCGATGGACATAGGCGCGAGAGTGTCCAGAATGTAGAGAAGGGTATAAGGTGGCGCGCGGGCGGGCAGGGCGGGCAGGGCTCCGTCTGAAGCGGCTTGAATTTGTGCGTCTGGTTTTCGCAACTGGTAGTGAGCTCTCGTTCTCCTTTGGGGCAGTTTGAAAATCCCCAGCGCCATAGCCACCCAGTGGCAGCAGCAACCCAACCCGGGCCAGCAAGGTTATCGCACCCGCGCGTTTGCGAGTCGTTGTCGTGGGACCTCCGAGCGCTTCCGAGGAGCATAAGGCTCGCAAAAAGTGCCTTGTTCCCGTTGTTGCAATCGGACGGGAATTCGGAGAGCTTCTGCAGAGAGAGCAGGTTAACAAAAAGAAAGCAAGACAAAATCGTGTTTTGGCGCACCAAGGAGAGATTCGCTACGCCGCTACGTCGCCACAGGTCCTTCTCCTTCGAAAGGTTGGGGATGGTAGGTTGAGGCAGTAGTGCCATGCAGGTATTAGCGAGAAACAGAGTCTACTGGATCGAAGTCAAGTCAACAGAACCTCGTCTGGCGAGCCAGAAAACGCACCTGGCTACTCGTGCATAGGACTACGGGTCTGTGTGTAGAGTGAAGCGAGAGGTTCTCGGGGCGCGGAGGGCGAAGTGGCCATCTATGGTGGTGGAGAGCAGAAGAGAAATGGATGCTTATCCAATGATCATGATCACGTTCCGATCTTCCTAAATCCTTGTGCTGATACTCCCAATTCTTCGTCTTGTTGGGCACGCATAATTCAATAATACTTATGTACTTATTACATCGACGACTACTGAAAAACCTCCTCAAGGTGCGAGGTCTGACGCTCCTCCTTGCTCACAATATTCAAAACACCCAACTTTGCCGTCTTTGGCAGCGCGTCGGCCAGCTTTGTCGCCAGCACGTCGATATACTGCATCGGGGGGTCCTGCCAGCCGGCCAGTGAGCGCGGAGCAGGGTAAACGGAACTTGAAGAATGACACCAGTTGAAGGCATACTCAAAGGATTTCAATGACGGGTGTCCAGCGATGGCATCGTCGAGCGCTGTGAAGAAAACGGGGTCAAGGGTGTATAGGTCGACAAAGCTGGCTAGAGTCGGCCACGGATAATCGGTTAGGAGGAGCCAACCAGTAGAGAAGGGTAGCGAGAAGCGTAAAGTCACGCCGGTAAGCAGTGGTGCAGCAAGGGGTTGGAGAATGTCAATAATCGGGATCGGTATGTGTTCTATATGGCCGGGTAGTAGCGGACCCGGATGGAGGTCGAGTCGCCGAAGCCGCGGGAAGTGCGTTGGGAGCACAAACTGTGTTTCAGTACTCGCAAATGGATCTTCAAGTTTACAAGTGAGTTGGGAGCCTGAGGGAAGGCTGAGCGGAGGGACATACTGTAGAATATTAGCTTAAGGGTTTCCAGCGAGTCTGCGGCACGGAAACATAATGTCAGGTCTTCTTGTTCGTATACCCTGTGCAGGGTCAGGCTTGAAAGGGCGCTCAAGTGAGGAGCGAGGTTGGCATGATGAAGGAAGCTCGGGCCCAGCATGGATCCTGACACCACTAGCGCCACAACTTGAAGCGGCGTTGTTTCGATGGGTGTTGGCTCCAGCCATGTATCGTCATTCTCTGGCTCGACCGCGAAGTACTTGACGGAGTCGGCCACAGCTAGCATTTTCAGCAGCGTCTCCGATGGGACATGAGTAGCGAATAAGCTGTCCAGCTCAAACCGCTTCAGTTTGCACTGGGGGTGGGAGTATTTGTGGAGCAGCATTTCGACAATATCGTTGTCCGCGCATGGGCGCCCCCATTTGTACTCTCCACAGTCCCAGATCTTGACCTCCTGCAGCTCCATCAGCTGCGCGAGCACGGTTGCTGCCGCGGAGCGCTCAGCCCGCCAGTTAGATTTTGTGGTAGACGAGGAGTTATACATTGTAAGGACAATGGAGTTTGTGTATGCGGCAAGACGAGGCGCCCTGCTCCAGAGCGCGATAATGGAGGAGTACGTGCGCCAGCACCGAGGAAAGCTGAATTCGTCTTCGTTGGGCTCTGGGTCGTCGACATCTCCGATTATCAGCCGGGAGGCCAAGAAGAGGCGCCGGAATAAGCGCTTTTGGCATACAGGGCGGAAGACAGATGCGGCAAGGCAGCAGGATTTTACCGTTCGCGGATTATTTTTAGGTATTGCAGCGACAATGGACTCGAGGAGCTCTGGAGGGAGACACGTCATTATAATGGGAGAAGCTTGAGCAATATTGGCCAGCGAAAGGCGGGAGGGGAAGGAGTCGCAGGTGTCGTCGTCGCGGAAGGCAAAGATCGGCCCGAGCATGTGACCACACTGGTCTTCTTCTCCGCTTCCACGACGACAGCTATGGCCGATTTCATCACCGGCGACGACTCTAGTCATGCCTGGGTGTCTGCACGCAACAGGTGGCGCCAAACGTAGTGTGCTATTGGGGGAGGCAGGCAGATGAGAGGTGTGGAGCGCGGGTGGGAGTAGGAGGTGTGTCTGCGATCTTAATTTCCTCGTCAACGAGGTCTCCGAACTCACAAACATGCCCAGTACCTCCACACTGGCTTTTGGGAGCCTATTCGACTGCGCCTGGCTGCCCGCATCCCCATTACCAAGTAGCGCCATAATCGATGTCGGCGTGGCAATCCCCAGTGTGTGGAGTCATATCGGCGTGGAGACGATGGCGTGGCGAGCCCGCTGCTGCCAGGGCGGACGGTTTCGGACGGGTTACGGGCTCGGTTTCGTCTGGGCAGGAACTTGTGTGAGTCGTGGATCTATTTTCTTGTCGACACCCTGGTTTTGACCTTCTCCTCCAAAGTCCCGCTTCTCACCTGCCAATTTTCTTGTTCCTCGTCATATCTATTGCCACCGCCAAGCTTCTCGCGCAGTCCAAACGCAAACAGATCCGCCAAACGCTCCCATTCTGGCTCACGCAACAACTCCGCAAAGAGGCACGACCTGACAAACACTACATCGACTTTCGGCGTTCGCGCTGTCCTGTCTGCAGGCAGCACAACCTCCCCGACACGCAAGTAATGCTCGCCGTCAAGGCTGGCAACCTTCCCAACACCTCTGCTTGACCAGCCCGCGGTCGGATTCCGTGCTTTCCTTCTGCTTGTGGCGGCGTCACCCCTTCGAAAACCACATATATCGCCCAACGCAGTAGATACCGCTCCAGCGAGCCTATCTAGTTGCGTGGTACACCTCCACGCTCCTACACCATCTTTTCCTTCTGTCAAATCGAGGAGGAAGGCCGCCGCTGCACCAGCTTTTCTGCGCGGAAAGCGTTTCATCGTCGGGGAGCCAATAGCATATACGGCTGCCCAAATCCTCATCTATTGCTGCGATATCATCCCCACATCGGCGTACAAACGACTACGCTTGTGCTCATAGGCTGAATTTCTGAGCTTGTCTGTTGGCCGACCTCGACAGAGAACAGCACTGGGTCAAGCTTGTGGACCATCCCAACTTCTTCAAATGCGCCCACACACCTTGACTATAATTCCCTGCTCCCCTCCCCCGTCCTCCTCGTCCCCGCCTGCACCCTCCACACACAATCGGCGCCGACTCCCCAAAACGGCAAGTCACGTGCTCGCTCGCCGACCCAAAGACCACAACATATCTCGCAGAACGCGGCAGCTGGAGCTCTATCGAGTGTATCTCGTTGTGCCCCATGCCTGTCCCCTCCTACTCATTTCTTTCTACGTCGCCATTCGAGGGGCAAGGTTGTTGTCGAGCGCGTTTTGTCTGGCAGCCGTATGGGAGGCAGGGGTGGCGATTCTTTGTCGAAAGGCGACATACGCGTCGGGGGAGGTGATTCGGGGCAACGGACAAGTGGTGGATGAGCTCGAGGGAAAGTTTTGAGCTAATTGAGAGAGGAGAAGCGTATGTGGACTTGTCGCCCATCGGGCGAGCGCTCAAGCAAGATGGTCATGTTTCTCAAGACACAGGGGATGAGATTCTTCTCCTCGCGTTCGTTACCCGTCGACTCATTGTGCGGAGAAACCTGTCGTGATTCTACTTGGGGAGTCTACATGTATGTATGTAAAGCTGCAACATACCTTTCCTCGCTGCTTATTGATCATTTACATGCAGGCAGGATGAGTGTCGTTACTCACGCTGGCCAATCGACACAGGCCTTGCTTTGCGTTTGCTCAATGACGTACGATGGCTGCCCTGATAAAATTCAGACTTTATCGCTTTAATTTGAAGGTGAAGTCTCCTTTTCGCTTCGGCTTCTCAGTCTGAAACGTCTTCTAGCTACAGTGGCAACAATATCCATACCAAAGCGCCACGAGCATTATTCCTTCCTTCACCGTTGACTCTTCCCCCCCCCCCGTCGACTCCTGCCGCCCTAGCAATCGAAAAATAATCCGGATATGGCAAGTCACGTGCAGACCCACCCACCGACAGACGTGAACATATCTCGCCCGACGCGGCGGCTGGCGCTCTAGCGAGCATACCTACGGCCGCGTCACGTTGTTCGCATCCTCCCCAATTCTTCCTCGCCCGCAATTCAAGGGGCAAGGTTCTCGTTGACTGCGTTTTCCTCAACCACTGTGTTGCGAGGCTTGGACGGCTTTTCTGCGTCGAGGAGCGAAATACACGCGGGTGAGGGTGCTTGTGGCATATCGGTGAAGGATGGGGCTGTCTTCAAGAAGAAGAGAGTTTAACCTCGAAGCACGGAGGACTGGGTGAAGGAATGTCTACCGGCCGCAAGGGGTCAGTCGCGTAAGACAATCGATTCGTCGAGGTTTGCTACTACTACACGGACTACACTCCCGCATACCACAGAATACCAGCTCAAATGAAGATGATATACCGTTTCGTACAGTACTTGCAATTACTCCGGTTAAAGCGAGGTAGCAGAGAATTTGAAATGTGGGTCGAGGATGCGAATCATGATGATTAATGAGCTGCCTGCGTTTGTTGTTTCTGCCTTTCAGATTGTCGAGCGTTGCGAAATATAGTCGGTGGAGTACTGGTAAGTAAGAACTGCCTCGAGATGAGGAATACTTGAATGACATGTGACCGCCAATCTCTTTTCTTCCGCTCCTCCACCACGGATCGCGACTACAACTACTCGCCCTCCGCAACGCATCTCTCACCCCGCCAGACCATCGCACCTGGTGAACATGAGGTCTGCGAGCAGCTTGGTGGGCTCTACAGCCAGGCACACGAACACGAAGTCCCGCTGCCTGCCTTCAGCCTCCGTTTGGACGTCATGCTGGGTAACGCGGCCTCGACAATGGGCGTTGGCGGACTCTGCGCGGGAAAGTGGGTGTGTGGCAATCTCGGTGCGTCAAAACGTGTTTGCATCTTGCGCGCTGTTCCTGACCTTGTTTCTCCGCAGATGTTCTTTGACTCCTCCTCCGACGGGTGTATCCTAGGGAAACCGCTGGCTCCACCAACTCGACAGGTAGCTGTCGGCCTGGAACTACCCGCTGCCTGCCAATGACGACCTCCATGTCCTTTAACGACTGCTTGACTCACAAGCGAGGGATTCTAGTAGGGAGGAGACGAACTTCGTTGAAGACGGGGTGCATCGTGCGTATTCTATTCAGGTCTATACTAGCATCTGCTCATTCCCGTCTTCCAGTTGCGTATTCTGCCTCCTCAGCGGCACACCTTGGCGGTGTTCGTTGGCACCGACATGGCATTCGCCGCAAACACATTGAAGGCTATTGCGTCCGCAGAGGCATTGCTTTCTACCTCTGGGGAGCCTCCCAAAGCCCTCCCATGCGTCGTACTCGGCCTGTGGTGGACCACAAGACCCGCTTTCAAGTTCCAAGCAATGTCAAAAATCCTCCCATTTTCCCGTCCTACGCTCTTCTGCGACATCTTCATGCATATCCCCACTTGCGAAACTCCTCTACCTGTTTGCGGAGCCTCGATGAACCCGCTTTCCATCACATATTACGTGCTATACAAGACCGGCCCGCCCCCGATTCCCTCTTGCTTTCCTTCTGCTTGCGGTGGCGCGTAACCCGCTTCGAAAACCACATGTCTCGCGCAATCGCCCTCCGACTAACGTGTCTAGCGAGGTACACCTTCACACTCCTATGGGATCCTCTCCTTCTGTGAATCCGAGGAGGAAAGTCGCCGTCGCGCCAATCTTCCTCGGTTCTTCGTCAAGCAAAACAGCATATCCTGTTGCCCACATTCTTATCTTCCGCCACGACATCATCTCCGTGATCAGCGTCACGACGACTATGCTTTCGGTCGTGGGGCTGGATATCCGACCTTTTCGACTCGCTTCGACGGAGGACAGATGGGCTATCGAGGCCAAGCTTAAGCGACTTCAACGATGGCGATAGGTCTGGCTTATACTTCGATGCTCCCTTCTCTCCTCTCCCCCCTACCCGCCCATGCTTGCACCCGGAACAAGCAATCTGCGTCGACTTCCCAAAATGGAAGGTCACGTGCTCGCTCGCCGACCGAAAGACGGGCACATATCTCGCCCAACGCAGCAGCTGGCGCTCTATGGAGTGTATCTCCGCATGCCGCATACTTCATCCCTCCTAATCAATTCTTTCTGCCCCGCCATTCGAGGGGCAAGGCTATTGTCGAGCGTGTTTTCTCCTGCAGTTGTATGAGCGGTATGGGGGACATTTCTTTGTCGACGGGCGACATGCATCAGCGGAGAGGAGTTGGGGAGAGGGATCAGCGGTGCTGGGAGTTCAGTAGAGCGTTTTGAGCCGATTAGGGGGAGGGGAAGCTTTTGCGGACTAGAGGAGCTGGCCGTCGGACCAGCGGCGCTCGAGCAGGACGCTTGACACGCGATTCGGTGATGCGAAGGCTTGGTTTCTTCTCCCCCTCTCCTCGACAGATGGCCATTGGTTGCGTGGAGAAGGAGAAGGCTTTCGCGAATATATATCAATTACACCAGTAACTCTGGAATCCATGTATGCATCGCAACAAGTATGTACCATTGCGGGTTTTCAAGAATTATAATATGCATTCAATAGATTGTATTTATACAATCTGCTCAATCGCTGTACTACCATTCTGGTCTATCTCCATATATTTCCTACCTGTAATCCTCTCTTCCCACCCCTCGCGGTGTCCTCAACAAGCCAATGACTAGTGTCCCGATCACGACGAGGATCGGAAAGGGAAGATGACAGACGTCTCCGCAGCCTCAGTTGATCCAGCGAAAGGAAGGGCGGCAACAACGATCCACTCGACGCAAGCATAAGTACACGGTGTCGTCGTCGACCGTGACGCATCTCCTCCTGGACGTGCAAATATCGCGTGTGCCGTCGGCTTAGCTGACGAGCAAAGAGGTAAAAGCAGGAGGGAATGGGCCTAGTTGGAGAACGGGGGGAGTGTGCGAGTGAGCTTCCGGAGCGATGCATGATTGCTGCTTGTTGGCAACCTGGCGTTGTTGTCCAGTTGTCGAGTGCAAGGGCAAAAGGTGTCGTTCTTGTGGAAGGGCGATGCGGTTGCGATAGATTACAACGGCCTTTGTGAAGCGTCATTGTCGGAGGAAAGAATGTAAACAAAACTACTGGAAATGAAAAAAGAATCGTCAGTGCGGTACGAGAGGAAAAAACGACGTCCACCCACGTTCGCGTCATTAGTGTATAATTGCCAGCCCATCGAGCCGACTGGGATGCTTCCACCCCATCGACATTGCCGATTCGTTTGCAAAAGCTAGTACTAGTCGAAGGACGAAGGTCACGGTCGCGATTGTCAGACGAGCAAGAAAGGGAGAAAAGCCGACACACTTGTGCTGCACATGCCTTTCAAGAGGTGTCGGACCATGCGTTAGATATTCACATCCATCCATGGGGAAGAGGCAAGCAGCATGCGTGTTATTCGTGGTCGTCGCACAGAAGAAATGCTCGAGTAAGGAAACCAGCCTGGACGGGGCAACGATAATCAGCGTCTGCAACGTTTGGTTGCACAACTCACAGGAGAATAATATCCCATCTAGCATACGAGCGCCCGCTGAGAAAGAATCGGAAGCACGGGGGGGAGAACGAGCGCCAACTTCAAGTTAAAGCGGCGGGAGATCGCAGAGGGAGAAACTGAGACGAATTGTTGCAACGTTATTCGTTGTGTGTATACGAGTATTGCGTGCCGGAATAGTTCTCCCATTTGCCAGAATTCGCCCAGGCTCTCGGGAACCTGAAACCTTGCGGGCCACAAATCAGTGAAGCGGATGCGGCATATGAATTGCTAGTGCGCCAGCCGTATGCTTCGTCTTTGTCGTGAGGTCGAGCGTCGCCGAGCACAGTGTTGAGGTGAGTGGTAGTCAAGAGGAGAGAAGGAATTGACAGTGACGCGGTGTGACCGGCCCGTCTTCCCTTCTTCCGCTTCTCCACGACGACTTCTGCTTACCGCCGTCTGTAAACCGCCCTCCCCCCAGTCTTTCCCTCGCGTCAACTGCACATGGTACACGCAAGTGACCCGGTGAGCTGCGCGACCATCCGCATGGTGTCCTTGACGCTGACAGTGTCTCCTTCAGCAGGACGGCAATCTTCGTTTCTGCCGCATGCGGCTGGGCGCTACCTCCATCATTGCCACTCGCGGAAAGAGGAGAAGAGAGGGATGGGGTTGGGAAGGAGGGGGTGGACTAGCCCGGTGCGTCCCGCCGCTTTCTCAGCGTCTTCCCATCTCCTGACCGGTTATGTCGACAGAACTCCCCTTTTGCCTATAACGGTGGCCCAGTGTTGAACGGTTAGAGCAGTCGCCCGCCCAACAAGACTCCTGAACCCCTCCATCTCCCGGCGCCAATTACAGCCGCGGCTCAAAACGGCGGACATCTTCGCAGTCGATCCAGCAACAACTTGAAGAACGGCCGCGACAACCACATCCCAGCGAAGAACCTTGTCCAAAGTGGGCCGTTCCGCAAAGGACACGTAGGCCAAAATGGATCGGATGAATGATGGGTGTGACTATAGGTGCGCGAGAAGCCACTCATCTTACCAAGGTTATTCCTGACATTCTTCCTCGCAGGCTCCTTGCAGTACCGCGAAATTATGGCCTTCCAGCGACGCTTTCTGCGAGAAAGACTTGGAAAACGCGGTACCTCCCTTCGCATCTATCACGTAGACTGTTCGGTGTTGAGGGAGCAAACGCTGGGTGCGTGTTTGGCTACCACCTACCCGTTTTCGTCCATTGACCTAAGCATTCTCAAGGTTCTCCCCGCTCGGAATGGGAAATTCACTCCCCTTTCTCACCTCCGCCACTGCAAAACGGTACTGCGTTTGTGGTTGTGAATCTATTCCAGCAGCGCAGAATCGCGTGGTTTAGCTTAGTGTCGTCATTCATCGACAGAGACGCCACTTTACTTTTGCATTTGCTCAAGGATATACGATGGCCAACTCGCATGCATCCCACCTCCTGTTTTTGCTCCCCCCCCATCAGGTTTGAAGGTAAAATCTCTTTTCACCTCAGCTTCTCCGTCTGAAACGTCTTCTAGCTACAATGACAACAACATACATCCGGAAGCGCCATAACCATCATTTCCTCTTTAAATGACGGCTCTTACGCTTCCCGTCGACGCCTGCACCATCCACCCAGCCAATCGAGAATTTATTCAGATATGGCATGTCACGTGCACGCCCACCCGCCGAAAGACGTCAACATACCTCGCCCGACTCGGAAGCTAGCGGACTGTCAAGTGTATCTCGCTGTGTAGTATGCCTTGCGCCTCCTCCTTCACAATTCTCATACCCCGCCATTTGAGGAAAGGCCGCCATTGAGCGCGTTTTCTCCTATGCATATGGCCATTGAGCAGGCATGGTCGGCGTTTCTTCGTCGAGGAGCGAAATGCACGCGGGTGAGGGCGCCTCCAGCGAATTGCTCAGGGACGGGGCGACTCGCAAGAGAGTTTGACTCCGAGATGTGAAGGAATCGGCGCATGAATATCTCGATTTTTCTAACTTGACTCCCGAATCCTACACCCCTTCTGCGACATTCCTATATATTCCCACCTACACATGCCCCATCTGAGACTACTAGAGCTTTATTACAGTCAGATCTCGCTCCTCAACACTTTCCCCACCCATTCTTCCCCTACCGTCACTTCCACCATATCCTTGGGACAGGCATTTGTGGCGTCGTCCGTGCAGCACCTGCTGCTCTATGAGCCCTATCCCGCGGTACGATTAGGCTATTCCAAGCTACTCGACTCTTTCTAGATGTTGTTACGGGCGGGAAGGCTGTCGTTGACGCTGGTATTGACAACGACCATACTTATTCAAAACCGGAATGGGCTTGCTTCATTCTCTCGATGAGCGAGACGTGCTAGCCGGTCCCCCCCGTACATGTTGTCACTTTCAAGATTTACTGCAATACGCTCCGACCTTTCCAAGTTGGAGCACGTTTGCCTGTGAATGTGATTGTCACTCAGACGTCACGGTTGCATCCAAATCATTCAAGACGAGTCACTTCAATACGCCATTCCCCTGTCGCGATGCTTCTCGTATTCTTCCTCTCTGGCCTTCTTCCGCCCCTACTCAGGCTGCCATCGTTTGGATTACGCGCTGGTGCCAGTGTTGTCGGTTCCCTGATCACGAGTCCCATGATGGGTTGCGCATGCATACACGTGTGGCAGCGGCGAGCGCTGTGCTACGCGGCTAAAGAGAGTTTCGCGAGGCATCCGCTATATCTAAGTATGTTGTTACTTACCAAGTATAAAAACTTATTATTCCTTTTCTTATGATGACCATTCTGTTGCAAACTTGCAATAACTGCCAGATATACGGAATAATGCGATTCAAGTTGTATGCCCGCGCACTCTTTCAAGTTTGCAAAAGCCGTTGTAGAGGGAATACATATACAAGCACTAGGTACGACCTTGGATCATACTCAACTCGTGTAAGAGCGCCGTTGCTTGTAGCGGTACCACATTATCCGATATGCCACTGACTTCCGGCACCGTTCCCACCATCCTGGCCGCGCTGAACGGTCGACCCAAGATGGGGGTATGTATCTACCATCGAAACCCTCGGGGCCGACTACGTCATGTGGATTTCCGTACGGATTGCTAGGACTCCATGGCAAATTTGAATCTGGATACGCTGGTTGGAAGACAGTGGCAACCTGCCTTGGGGCATGAATAGTTGGACCAGCAGGCATGTGGTCGTGCACAAGATGGTCTGCCAGTGGGGGCAGCGGCCCTGGCTCCGTTTGAATGCGCCATCCTTGCCCGCCACCACTAGCAAGATTCGCCGATGTATGACGTGGCGGAATATGTCTGACATGGCTGGTGGCACCCGTTGCAATTCCAGGTCCAAAAACTCCGTCGTATGGCACTGGGTAGTAATTACTACCAGTAGTATATGCCGATGGTGGTGCCTCTACCACTTGGACCGGATAAGGACTACCCCAAGGGGCAATAGTCAGCAAACACGATAGATGAATTGAAGATGCCTGCCTACGTTGGTATCCTGTCGGCGATTGGACGGGAATATGGTCCGGGCCACTGGTTGGAGTCCCGCGGAGGCCTTCCCTGCACAAGCGTGCTGGTACTGTCCAGAGAATACTGTAAGCAGACGAAAGATGCCAGTGCACAACAGATGAAGATACATACCTGGAGTTTATTCCCCATATTTCAAGCTGCGACGTATCATGTATCGCTGAAGTTGAGAGCCGAGGGCCCTGGCAATCTTCGTGAGCGGGCGCGCGGTCAGCTTTCGTGAGCTGTCAACTGACCATCATTTTACCATGTGTTGCTTGTTGGATGCCAAGAGTGACGGAGGAATGGTTTCTGGGGAAGGGGAGCTCAGCGCATTTGTTGCTGGCTTTGATCCCATCAACTGAGTTTGAAACTTCTTATTTTTAGCACATAAGGGCCCGGAATTGAGTGTATAGTGTATATTGATGATCTTCATTCTACACACAATTCCACAGGTCATACTTACTGGCTACCTAACGAGCTCCCTAACTGGCCCTCCGCCCATTTCCCACAATCACAAGCGTCTCGCAGCGCCGCTGCGCCTGTCCCCCGCCTTCGTCTGCAATGCGCTTTTGCGCGAGCCCTGGGCACCAGGCCGAGTCTACCCACGGCCACTCGCCGGCCCCGCGGCCGCCAGCTCAGGCACTGCCAGCCGCAGCGAGCGCGCCGCCCAAGACCGGCGCGCTGAGCTCGCAGTACACAAGTCGGCCCTGCACCGGCTTCCCCGCCGGCCGCCAACGAGCTCTCAGCGCTCAGCCAGCCCCAGCCCCTCTGCCCAGTTTCTCACCATTTTGCCTCAACTGCAGTGCGGCTTTCGCAGTTCCGTCCGCAAGCCGTCCGGGAGTGGCGTGGCTAGAAGATCGAGTGATTAGTTATGGTACACGAGAAAAGGGGACTCAGCGCGAGTCCTGGGCATCCACTCCCAGTCCGAGGCGAGCCGTTTGCCCCCATCGACAGCACGCCGGGTCACTCCCAGCGCGACTCCCCTTCGCCTCGCTGTCCCCGGGCCCACGCCACCACCTGAGACGCCCGTGGTTCTGCGCATGACGGCGACAAGCTGGGCCGGCTTGTCGGCGTAGTCCCGTCTCGGACGGCACTGGCACATCAGCTGCAGCCGTTGAATAGGCGCATCCAGACGTCTGCGCGTATGTGCTGGCCTATCGCGCTCGAGTTCAGCTGAGGAGGATGTGGGGGGACATAACTCACCGGGAACGCCACCTCCTCCCTGTTCTCGCCGTCAGTCGTGCAGCGCGGTCCATCGGGCTGGTGGGCTCAGTGTTGGGGGCGATGTCGAGGAAGGGGGAGATGGTGGTGGTTGCGGAAAGAGAAGCGATGGGGTCGTCACGTTGATCCTGTCACCGTGACGCTTCGTGATCTTACGAAAAACTGACGTCGGCTAAAAGCTGCCATCAATCTCACGAATGATGGCATTTGATCTCACGAAAACAAATCACGCGCCCGCTCACGAACATTACTATTACCCGAGAGCCGACGATGAAGTCTGCTAGTGCGTTGTGGCCAAGTTTCCAGTGACTGATCATGAGATTCCGAGTCCGAGTCAGAGTCAGGGCTTGTAAACCGCGAGAGATCGGCCAGAGTCCCAAGATGTTGAGGACTTGTCGGTGATAAAAGCCCCTGGGCTCCACTAGTAGCGCCACCAGGAGCCCCCTCAATGGGAACAGGCATAACAGGACTCGCGGCAGCAGGCCTTCTCCCAGCTGAGGACCTCCGACTCCGTGTATTGCTCTGGGGAGAACTCGTCGACATGACTCCGACTCGGTGGTGGGTGAGGAAAGACGGAATATGCTGTCTGCTTTTATAGTCCTTCGGGCCGCGTGTGGCACTTCCGTTGGACCCACAAGTGGGCGCAGGGTGACTAGGTACAAGTCATTTCGGCGTGGAATCTTGATTATGGGTGGTGGACAAATATGAGCTTGACTCGTCGCTCGTGAGATCTTGAGAAGGACACTAGAAACTCGTAGAAGTTTTCGGCGTCTTGTGAATGGTCTGCGAAGTCCAAGATTGACGGCAGACGTGAGCTAGCTCGATAGCGACCATCTCTGGAGTCGTAGTCCGTGTATATTGTCGAGCCGCCCATACCAGTAGACTGCAGTAGTACGCGTTTTGTGAAGTTACAAGGAGCGAGGGGAGAAAGACGCGCCTGTGACATAATGCCGCCAGGCTCTTCAATTGTCTTTCCATTCCCCACACGCACTCGGTGCTGGTGGAAAGAAGCCTTTCGAGAAACAACGAGCCAACAACGGCGAGCGTCGTATCGTCGGGTCCTGGTGACGATGCGGATCAAACTGGTCCTCTTCTTCCCTTTACCGTCACCACCATTACCATCCGCCTCCCTCCCTCCGAGTCCGCTTGCCGTGCGCCACACTCACAGCCCGCATAATGCCCGTCGTATTACAACTCGGAATCAAAGGCCGTGGGGCGACAGCTGGACGGGGATAGACGAAGAAACGTGCGCTTTCGCTCATTTTGGCTCGTATTCGCGGCTGACTTCTGGCGTAGCATCCAGTACCCGCAGCTCTATGCTCGGGCTACCCTGTCATCAAAAGGACCTGCACACACAACGAGGGTGGGGCAATTTCGCCACAGGATGGGCAAACCGCTACCACAAGAGGACGAAGGAGCCTCCTTTGTGGCGGTTTTCAGGGACCACCGTAGGGCGGGACTGTGAAGGTGGAAGCTTGAAGAGGAGTGGCTTTGGGGCCTGCGGTTAACGAGGAGGTCTTGATTCAGGTGCATGAACAGCCCTCTCTTCATTTGACGTTGCTGACGCTTCTGCCACAGAGGCCAGCTCGCAGAAACTCTCAACTCTTGCCGATTTTCCTCCCCGCCACCACCACAATGACCCTGACTGTATCTGCAACCAAGGGGTAACTTTACCCGTGCAG